TTGCAGGGTAGGGAAAGCAGCCCTTCCTCCCCCACCCAGACAAACCTGCATGTGCTAGATCTGCTTGGCTCTCAACGGGGGAATCCTGTTCCACATGGGCAAGATGTGAGTGTCCAGCTTCTCTGCTCGAGGGGCAGAGGAGTCAGCAAAGATTGCCCCTTAGTTGTTTTGGGGGTAGCTGGGGTTTTGCTGTTGACTCCACCTGGCGCAGGCAGTATGTCAAGGCAGAGCTTTTGCAGCCTTCTTGCCCGGACTCTAGTCCTGTTCCAGTGGGTGTTCAGCTCCCTCCTGCACCGAAGCCACCTGCTGCCAGCTTCTTGACACAGGACTTCACATTGGGGTAAAATTTAGTCAAACAGGGTGTGCAGCTGCACCCCATCTGGATCCACCTTCACCCTTTTAGGAAAAAAGATTTTAAATGTAGGAAACCGTTAAGAGAAATGAGGCAATGCAGCCCCCTCAGAATGACTGTTTCACATTGTCCACAAGACCCCGAGAGCCTATGCCTGGGTGCCTTTTGCAAGCTCTCTTTGCAGCCGTGTGGGCTAGAAGCTTAATTAGAGCGAGTAAAAGTTAGGAGTTTGATACTAGTCCGTGATTCTGGGAAGCTCTGGCCTAGCCGCTCTCTTTGCCTGTCCTGCAGCTTCTTGCCGACCTGAGTTTCCTGAAGGGGGTTGATCTAGAGTGCTTTAAGCTCTGTGTCTTTTGTTAAGAAGCAATAACTTCAAATGCTAATGAACTGCTGGAAAGGGATGCCCTCATGCTACAGTTTCTCTTCATTCAGTTAGTCACCCTGAAAGTTGCCTCATTCTCCAGGGAGACTGCCAGCAAAAAAAAGGAGGAATATCTATGCTTTTTCTGAAGTAAAGACTAGACAAGGCAGATTATGCATAAGGCAAAGAAATGTTCTTAGTCCACCATGAAATGAAAGAGGTACAATATGATTTTCCCCTTTTATCAGTTACCCTCAAAGTGGTCATTTTTCAGTTCTCATCCTTTGGTCCTCACCCATTAACTATTTTGGGACTTCAGTTTCCAGCATAGTGAATCCTGCCACAGGCAGCTCAGTTGCGTTCACAAGAGGGTGAAGGGTTGCCAGGAAAGAACGTTCCTGGGGTCTAATGCCTCGTATTAAAGGGTTTTCTTTCCCTAAATCTTTAATTCCCTGTTTCCCTGCCTGTCACTCACTCCATGTTTGGAAGGCTGATTTAGATCTATCCAAGGGCCCTAAGTTCACCCCAGAAAGAATAATAATTGCAGCACTGAGCTCTGTGGCTTCCCTTTCATTCCCCACATAGCATTAGGGTGCTCACTGAAACCACAGCATTCATGGATCCCTGCCATATGCAAGCATGCAATTAATACACTCACTTTCCCCTGCACTTCCCAGGCAAGAGAGGGGAAAAAAGCACAAGTCGTAGTATTCGTTTTCCTAACATGCACACATGTGTGTCTCTGCCTCACCCGAATGCTCCAGCATGTCTTGCACCTAACTGGACTTAGTAGTTCCTAGCAAAACATGTCTGCTCACAGGCAGAAATTTAATTTGATGCAGCACCAGTTCTGTGTAGCTGCACGCAAAACAACATGCACGAAACTACTCGTTCCCTCTTTGAGCTGCTGCAGCAGATTCATGAACAGTCTCATTTCACAGGTCTCCCTCCTTTCTCCGCTTTTAGCAGAGAGCTAAGGTATGTGTGCTTTCCTTGCTGGTTCACCTCCCTGTCCCTCTCATGCTCACAGGTGGTGCTAGCAGGTGTGCTGGGTACCTGGCTGGGAGGCAGCGTAGACAAGGAAGCAGGAAATAGAAAGCAGCTGAATCTGGCTGGAGGGAAAAGTATGTGTGTGAGAGAGTTTAAACCAGCTGCTGGAAGAAAATCAAAACTGAGGCGATTTCCTGGATGAGGCGGGGCTGTGGGATAGAGGGCAGAGAAAGACTCCAGCATCTGCAAAATCCCTCCTCGAAAGTGACCTTCTGTTAGAAGATGTTTCAGTAAATTCCTCGCCTCCTGTCTTGACTTTTTCACAGCTTTTAAATCATTCCCGCAAAAACCAAATGAAGAAATTGCAGCCTGAATGCTGGATCTGTGGCTACTTGTATGATGGGTCTTACACTCTCTGAGACTGTCTGGCGACTGCAGTACCTCTCCTCTGAACTAGGCTGAAAGTCCTGTCTCCATCCTCACCTTGTTTTGGTGGGACTTGAGGAGCAGAAGGGACCTAGAGCACAGCAGTTGCTCCCTCAATCTGTGGCGCACAGGTCAGTGAGCAAACCCACCACCAAGCAATACCCAGAGGTAATCACATCCAGAGAAGAACTGGAGAGAAATAAAGGCAGGACAGCTAGAAAGAACTACTGATAGGCCAAAATATGGAGCCTGCAAGGCACGGGCTCCGGAAAGCCTTAGTGGCTAGGAAGATGGCTTGTGGTAGAAGCCAGCAGTTCCATTCATATGATCACCAAAGCTGGAAAAATAAACAGACCAAATGGTATCCATTGCCATACTTGAAGTAAAAACTTTGTGCTATGGTGGCAGTCCCTAAAACCAGTCTGAACCCCAAAGCAAACAGTTCTAACAGTGTGAATCAGTCCCATACTGGCTTTCTAGGCTGAAAATGAAGGCAAACATCAGCCAGATGATCCCTCCTGTAACAAGGCAGTATGCATGCAGCAAACCAGAAATCACTGACATATGCAATTTGCCCACATTCCTCAAGAAACACTCATTCTCTATGAGTTTGTCAAACCTCCTGGCTCGGTCTGGAGGGAAACAAAAATTTCAGCTTTGTGGGCTGCAAAATGGACTGGATCGCTGTGCACATGTTCAAGCTCAGAGTCTGGTTCCCTTGCCTTGTATGCGTTGCCCGCCACAGCGCAGAGTGAAGGCAAAGTGAGCGCAAAGTGATATGATGAGGGACTTGCATTTCCTACTCTCTCTCTCTTCACAGGTATAAAGGAAAGCAGCAGCAGCAAGACAAGGCAGAACGGAGCACAGAAGAGTAGGATCCTTTTGTTATGAAAATTTGGTTGATTATTCCATTATCAGCAATGATCTTGGTCATATATGTGCATTTGCAGTATCAAATGCTGCAAAGCCAGGAGGGCCTCTTTGTGGTCAGTTTGGGGCTTGTTCAGTCTAAACATACTTGGTTGCTCTTTCAGAATCTTTCTGTGATCAGATTGCAAATAAACCTAAATATAAAATCAGATAAAATAGGGCTGAAAAGGAATTTGAGCGATCATGTGATTCAGCCCCTGCCCGAAGGGTGGATGTTGATCGGCGATATTTATGTCCCAAGAGATGTCTGCAGAACTTGCTTTTAAAAAAGCTCCAGTGGTAGAGACGTTGCCACCTCCCAGGCACCTAGTCACTATTTTTGCCATTAGGTATTTTTTTCTATGACCTGTTCTGAAGTTTCCTTACTAGGATGTGAGTCTGTTACTGCTTGTCCCCTTCACTGTGGCAATGGAGAGAAATTATTGCCTTCCTCTTTCCCACAATTGTTTGAATGCCTAAAGACTGCTGGCATGAGACTCTTCTCTTTAGACAAAAGAAGCTCAGTTCTCTCAGGTTTTTTTGTAGACTTCCAGTTGTTCTCAGTGCCCTCCTCTGGACTCTGCCCCGTTAGTCCCACCTTCCTCGAGGTGTGCAAGCCCAGAGGGATATGATGTTCTGGCTAACACTGTGTTTTGCACCACTACTCTGCAGGGCAGAAGGGGAGCTCTTATATGTCTTAAAGGTTTGTAGGAGGGTTTCTGCATTTATATCGCAGCATGGCACTTGGCTTTTTCACAGCTACAGACACTGTTAACACTTGTTCAAGTGCTGCAAGCCCTATAGTTCCCAGGCCTCTTCCACAGAACTGCTACTCGGCCTGTCCTTCCTCGCCCTCAGTGTGTACACCCCAGTGAGGTGCACCAGATCGTTCTGAATTCTGGTTATCTCCCTTCACCCCATCAACACTTTCTTTATCCTCAGGTCTCTTTTGGAATACAAAACTGCTAGTCTGCAGAAATAACTCTCCTTTTTGGCTCCAAAGGGTCAGCAGTGATTCTCACTGAACGCAGAGGTAACTACGCTTGTGTTGCCTTTACTGGACTGCACTCATGTCTAACGTGGGAAGAGTGTTACTTGTCTCTTGCAAAGCTTCATAAAAGTGCTGGAGATGGGGTTTCCCTTCACAGTTCTTCAGGATGGGACAGACTAGCTTTGCAGTGCAGATATTGAAAAGGAAGATTTGTTACAATCATTCCTCACCTGCAGAGGTACAGCAACAGCTTCAGTAGACCGAGTCTGAGGCATTTATGTTCAGTACTAAATATATGAAATACAAACAGGGTCTCAGAACAGACAATTTCATATTTTTGAGATGTTTGAATCTTTAGGGCAGACTTCACAGAATTCCTGTTGGACTGTGCCAAAGCATTTTCCCTTTACAATGCAGACAAACAAGTCAGGTTTACTTTGCTTGACCTTTTCTGATGACACCGCCACCCATTCAGTGCAAACAGTTGCTGTAACTCACCGTCTCAGATTCCTCTGCCTGCACTGAGGATAAATACAGTGTATGCCTTGACTTCTCCTGCTTCCTTGTGTTAACTTGGGTGAGGCCCTGAACCACAAACGCTTAATTTCATTGGTAAATCTTAGCAGTTACGGAAGTGATATCCGTGTTTGGTTAGTGACAGGTGGTGGAAGCTTCCCCTGTTGTAGCTCTACAACAAAGCGTTGTAGCACCTTGACCCTCATCTGGAACACCATTACTATTGCAGTCCTTGGTCCTTCTACCCCACCAGAACTGAGAATTCCTCTAACTGTTAAGTTTAAGGAAATATGTCTGTCACCTTCCTTGGAGATAGAGATTCACCGCTTTCTGAAGGGTCTGGACCCATTTCTTCTCCTCATCTTACAGTGGTAAAGGTTTCTATGTTTCCAGCTTTATACCCACTGGCTCCCTTGTTGACAAAGCTATTTCTTTACCATTAAGGAAAGAGGAACAGTCCGGTGAGAACAGCATTATTTTATCTGTTTAATGGCAGTGATTGGACAGTTATTGTGGTACACTGGAGCATGAGGGATCAGGATGCGATGGCTATGCCATTCCAGAAGCGTGAGAGTGTGAGTTGCTCATGATGCCCCATCAAAGTGATGGGAGAGCAGGGCCTGCATTGATCCTATTCACAGAGAAGACGTATTTTGTTTCGTTCCCAGCATTTTATTGCAATAGGATCCAAGTACTGCTTTGCAGAAACTGCAAGTGTCTTCTCTCTTTAGAAGATGATTTCCAAATGCCATTCCTCCCTCATATACGTAAGAAATTAACTGACTTTGTGAAAACAGCAGCACAGTTCCATCCTGGCCGAATTTATATCTTTGGCCGTTTTACCTGAAGGCTCTTTACACTTGACTGAAACATAAGGTAAAAGTAAATGTAACTGAAAGAGCCCTTTGTGTGTACCAGTATAAAGGCTTTTATGTGGGGAAGGTAGCACGTGGAGGCTAGTGTGATGAGCAGCCAAGGAGTGTCTAGGGTAGTGGTGATAGTCCTAAGGTCTTTGTGGAACATGGCAAGAGCCCATGAGGGCCACACAGTGGAAACCTAGCGTCTGGTTCAGACACAGGCCCCAGCAAGCCTCAGAACTGCATTTCCCCACAGTGACCCTCACTGTTGGCAACTTCTAGCTACATTTCTCCCAGGAGAGATGCACTGTTGTCTTTTTTTTTTTAATCCATATGCTTGTGATCAAGAAAGCCACTGCTGGGAGTTGGGACTCTTGGCCACCCTTCGTGGAGCCATGAAGGCAGGAACAGATTAATAAAACATCAGAGTTTCTTCAACAGGATTATTATAAGTGGTTTTCTTGAGTGTTGGTTGGAATAAGGATCTGAGAGGACAGGGATCCATAATCCTATTTATCTGAAGCCATATAATCTTCCTGAAGCTCCTTAATTACAGAGCAGTCGGATGGGCTGCTGCAGCCAGGCCCACCTGCAAGCCTGTTATTGAGAGCCATGGCAAGAAGATCTCCCTGCAGGGCTTGTGGCTGCACTTTAGGAACTGAGCTCTCTGAAGACCCATCTCTTCTGACTCTACTCCCTGAGGGATACTCAGGGGCCGCCACAGACCGCCATTGCCTATCAGCTTGCAGTGGTATCTCTGGATCTGCTAAAGGGAGGGTTTGCTCAGTTCACCAAACTGAAATCACACTGCTGGGGATCTGTTTTGCCCTCAGGCACCCGCTGCTGTCCGGGGAGCAGCGAGGCAGCCCCAGGGCCTGGTGGCCCAGCCAGCCCCGGGCAGCTGCAGGTCTTGCCCTCCCGGTGGTCCTGGTGGCCCAGGGCCTTCTGAGCATGGCAGCGGGTCACCCAGCCCCTCACCACTAGTCACTGGTGTCCTGGGGCAGATGGGGGAGTCTCAGGAGGAGGCTGGCTGGTACCTTGCCTCCAGCCTGCTCCTCGCTGCACTCCAGATCCCTTCCCGGGGCCCCGCGGGGGGATGAGCGGGGGCATCGCGGGCAGACGCTGGGGGCGCTGCGGGAGGGGCGCCGCTCCCGGCTCCCCGG